AAAAAAAAAAAAAAAAATAGATGTAGTTTCTCAGCTCTAGTAGTTTACCTCAGTAGTAAAAAACTTCCTCTTCGAGAAAGAACTAGAAAGTAAAAGAAGGCAAAATATAATCAAGTGGTAATTGGGTAGTGTGGACACTGTTAGAAAAATTCAGATTTAATGGACTAGGGTTAGCCAGAGAGGCTTTATGAAAGACACCGGACTTGAATATGGCCTTGAAAAAAAGGGAAGGCTTTAAACTCTGATTATAGTTGGAATTTAATCCCCATATGGCAAATGTCAAATGGCTAAAGAGTAACCTCTTAAAATTTGAAATAATAAGCGACCATCTAACAAATGAAACAAATTGACCTCACTATATTTTTTGCCATGGAAAGATGTTCATAATATATTAAGTGTGTGAAAAGAAGATTATAGAACAGCATTCTATACAATGAATCCATTACTAGAAAAAAAATATGCATTTTCTATGATATGCCTAGAAAAAAGTCTAGAAGGATATATGCGTGCGCGCGCACACACACACACACACACACACACACCATTGTGGATAAGGAACAGAGAATAATGATTAAATAATTAAGGAGATCGGGTGGATGGTATAGGGTAACAGATTTAAAGGTGACTATCCTTCAGCTTAGTGGCCTAAGATGGAAATATGATCCAAGTCTATAAAATCATGATGCTGATTGAGAGAACGCAGATTTATTCACAAGTCTCAGGCAACAGAATTGAGGATTGGCTTTGGAAGACTGAGAAGTAAATTTAGGACAAACAAAAGTAAGGCCGAACTCCCACAGAAGGCAAAAAAAAAAAAAAAAAAAAAAAAAAAAAAAAAAAAAAAAAAAAAAAAAAAAAAAAAAAAAAAAAAAAAAAAAGCCAGAAAGAAAGAAAGAGAAAAGAAAAGAGAAATGAAAAAAACTGGAATTTGCTACCCTAGGGAGGACATAAAGTGAAAGTACAAATAGCTTCAAGAATGATTTAGATAAAGTAATGGAAGAAAGGTTCGTTAATTCTTAGTTAAGCAAGAGCCAGGAATGTCCAGACTCTGTGAGATATTCAAGGTATTTCACAGGGGTAGAAAGAAGGTGAGCACAGACCTGATCCCAACCAGGACAGGCCAGGAGTTAACCCTCAGTTTTTGGACTGCTGGGAATTTCCAGGAAGTTGTCTCTGGGGAGAGGGTGGGTGTACAGGAGGCACTCAGAGGGCTCTGGGAAATAATTATTTATCAACCAGAAAAGAAGCATTTCAACATTTTAGTAACACTAATGACAATACGAATGCTTATTAGCTAAAAATTAGTCCTGACCATGCCTGTCTTCTGGGATGGACTTCAGAGACCATGTGTGTCAGAGGCAATATTGAGATAGATGGACTATAGTATGGCAACAGTCTTAGGATTTTGTGAGATCAAATGAAATTGTTAGATGAACAAAAGATTTTTTTTTTTTTTTTTTTTTTTACCTCGAGGGCTGTTCAGTGAAGCTTCCGATGCTCTCCCGCCATCTCCACAGTGACTCTGGTCAAAGGGAAGGCACTGATCACCTGTCCCCGCCACCACTTCAAAATTCTTGGAAAGATCTTTTGTTTCCACAAGAGATTTTAACTTGTAGACTTTTCGAGTGTTGGTGTCTGATAGATAAAGTGATTCAGACACAGGGTCCATAGCCAGGTAGTATTTATGGGCAGGACTTGTGCTAAGGAAGAGAAAAGTAAAGTTATTCAAAGTAGTTTGTTCACTATACATCCCCTGGGGTCTGCCTTTTGTCACAGATGGAAAATTCTCTTAGGAGATGGCAAAAAAAAAAGACCCGAAACGGATCTTTCTCATGTACTGAGGGGATGGATGCTACTTTGTTTTTCTAGTAATGGGTCTGAGTATTTAACACCTCAGTGTGTACTGCCAACCTGTAATGAAGCTGGTATTTCAATACCATCCATATGGGGGGCAGAGAAAGAAGCAGAAGAGAGAAAATCCCAGGAAATGATTTTTGCCATCAATGTCTTTCATACCCGGTTCTCCAATTACCCACTAGATGACTGCCCGGATGGCTCACAGTCACCTCAAACTCAACAAATCCCAAACAGAAGTTCTTGTCTTCCTGCCTTCCCCATCCTTCAGAATCTTACTTCTTCTCCAGGGTTCCTGCCTCACTGGGGGCCCCGCCAGCCTCCAGGCTCCTGTTGTAAACTGAAAGGCAGGTACAAAGATGGAGGAGTCTGGTGTGGGGGGGGGCTGTGCTAGAGATAACATTCCCAAACTTTTCCATTCCGAGCTTCCATTTTTTAGCTGACCACCACACTTTTCTAATCCATTTTGTCTTATTTCAGGGCATAACAGAACTGATTATATATGACCTTTTTTTTTTTCAGTTATAATCACAATCAGCCATACCTTTTAAAGGTGACACTAAAGTTACCTTGATCAGATTTTGGTATTCCTGAAACTCTTCAATTACATATTCGCATGGAATCTCTTGTGACATTTTTATCTGCATACATGGCTGAGCTCATTAATTAATTTTGATTCTTCCTAATCCCATTTTTTACGGCTGTAGCAACATTGGTTTGAGGGATATTTTCCTTGATCCTAACGTTTGTTGGACCCCATCTTTAAGAACGTTAAAAGCTTTTTAACATTCCTTGGGGTGGTATGCAAGCCTTTCTGCACTTAGTAAATCCTCACATGCCTTTTAAGGCTTTACTCAGGCATCATTTCCTGAAGAAAGCCTTCCCTAAATCTCCAGTCTGGGTTATCTGCATTGCACTTACCTCTATTCTGGAGATTACATATCGTATTAATTTTTGTATCTGTATCCCCCAATAAACCACGTGAGCTTGGAGGAAAGCAACCTGTCTTATCTCTGATGTGCTCACAGCCCAGAACTCTGCCCCACACCCAGCTGTCTAAGCCAGGTGCCATTCTTTACTCCTCCTGTCATTCTCCACATCCAGTAAAACATCCTGCGTTTAAAAATTCTACCTCCTAAACTCTTCTCCAATCTGCCCACTTCTCTTTATCTCCACGGTCATTACTCTAAGCCTCTCGTATCTTCTCTGAACTCTTTGCTTAGTACCGTTTCTGTATGATGTGGTTGTTCATTAATTAAGAAGTATTTACTAAGTACACTAATGTGCCTTGGAACTGTGCTATCGTCTGGAGACCTACTTGTGTGCATGATACAGTCCCTTTCATTGTGAAATTCATGGTCCAAGGGGGGAGTCAGATCGGTAAACCGGGAATGACTGCCAAGTGCGGCAACAGAAGTAAAGGGGGAAAGACGTGAGCAGAGAAAAGGTACGTGTGACCTAGCAGCACCTATCACATTCTATTAGCATTATTTTTATAGATAACTGAAGTCCATACTTGATTCAGATTTCCTTAGTTTTTATCTAATGCCTTTTTGTGTGTTCCAGTATTCCATCTAGGATACCAAATCATATATAGTCATCATGTCTCCTTAGGCTCCTCTGGGCTGTGACAGTTTCTCAGACTCCTTGTTTCTGATAACCTTAACAGTTTTAAGGAGTATTGGCCAGGTATGTTGTAGGATGTCCTCTACTGGAATGTGTCTAATGTTTTTCTCCTGGTTAGACAGGGGTTATGGGTTTGGGGGACGAAGACCATAGGGGTAAAGTGCCATTCGCATGACTTGTGACTGTTGATGTTGACCTTGATCACCTGGCTGAGGTAGTGTAAAATTATTCTTTCTCTTCCACTTTCCATACTGTGCTCTTTGGAAGGAAGTCACTCTGTGAAGGCAACACTTGAGGGGTAGGGAGTTATACTCCACCTCCTTGAAGGTGAAGTGTCTACATAAATGATTTGAAATTCTTCTGCACGAGAGCTTGATCTCTTCTCCTCTATTATGGATTCAACCGTTAATTTATATCAGTAGGGACACATGGATATTTGTTTCATACCGTGCATGAAAACTCCATGCTACTTTATTTTGTTGCTCAAATTGTTATGGCATTGGCCATTGTGAACTCTTCCTGTTGTCTCATGAGACCCTTTGACATATGTCCGTCAGTTGGAGGAGTGTTTGTTTCTTGCGCTGTTTTAGCCTTTCTTTACCTTTTGGCACTACAAGATGCTCCAGGCTCATCTTTTATAGTCCCTTCCCCAGCACTGGAATCAATCATTTTGCTAAAGACCCTGGGTTCCTTCTATCGGAGAATGGTACTGGAAACCAAGATGTGAGTGCTGGGTGTAAGCACTATTTTTTTCACATCTCTTTTTCCAACTACACTATAAGCTCTTTACAGGCAGGAACCATATTCATCCCTCTGTCTTCCGTGCCAACAGAGTGTCTGACGGGATTGATGTTCAGTTACTGCTGAACTAAAGTGTAGGACATGAAACTAACTAAAACATGCAAGTGTTCAGGTCTTGGCCACTTAGCCCAGCAAAACGGCAGGGAAAGGGCCATCAGAGTAATTAAGTTGCTCTTAAGGACTGGTACATTCCTGATTGTATTCATAATTATATTTGCCCTCCAAGCATATTTATGTATGTTAATGATGGTAAAGGCTAGCAAATACTGATTTGAGACCCAGTTTATAGTTTGAATTGGAAAAAAATCAGATCCATTAGGAATACTTGATTTTTTTCTACTTACCTTCACTTCATCAAATAAGAGAATTCAGTAGATTCCAGGGACATCTTCCACCCTGGAACCACCATGACAGCTGCTGTAAATAAACTGTAAAGGGCCCCAACAGACTCCAGAATTGGTTTGGCAGTCATATCAGACAAGGCATCTCTGTAGCAAAGACTGCTTAAATAGGGGTTTGAGTAAAAGTTTTTACATATTTAGTTGAATGTTTGCCTTCAGAATAAAATTTCCTCAGTGCCCTTAGATCTTCCTAGGATAAAAAGGGGGTCGTAACCCTTCCTGAAACAGCCTTCAATATTTTGGTAGCCAGTTTGTGGAAGTTTCAACTGAGCCAGATTAATCATGTTTTGTTTAGGAAAAGTCCATAGGCTATTTTTCCAAGAGAAATGTTATTCGCATAAAAGCACTTTGGAATGCATTACATTCATTTATTATTGAATATCCCCAATGTGCCTGTGAGGGAAGTTAAAATTATCATTCTCCTCCAATCTCAGCTGGGGAAACCCAGACCCAGAGAGGGCTTGCTCAGGGTCACTAACAAGCCTATGCTCTGACCAAGACTAGATTAGATCACATGTGACTGTGTGTACAAAGTGCCTTCAGAATACTTTAGTTCTGAAGGTGGTAAAAAAAAAAAAAA